AAACGGTACAAATGGGATAATGATTGACAGGGTGAAATATAGGACACTATGACCTCACATAACTGGAATTCTAATGCTCACTAAAGGACCAGTTAGATATTTTCTGTAGAGTAGCATCTAACAGAATGAACCCAGGCTAACCTAGACCTCATGAAGGGGCAGGAATACAAGGTGCAAGCAGAGGACACAGCATGTGCACAGGTCAGAAGGTGGGAAGTTGAAGCAAAATAAATAAGTATAACTCACTCATGCAGGTGACTAAATGAGCTGATATGCCTGAGGTTCCCAGTACACAGTGGTGCTCAGAAAAGGCCGACTGTTGTCATTATTGCACTCTTCTGGGCTCACATCCAGTGTGTGCCCACTTGGAAACAGCAGTAATGTAGGAAAAATATTGTCTCCTCTTAACTACACCACAAAGAATTCATGTCTTCAGGACCTAAGTACAGCCTGACTGAGGTATGAGTGAGAGCCAATAAACCACATACCTGTAAACTGAACAATCTGAAGTGTTGGCATGCATACACATTTCATATGTATCCATTTACCCAAAATATTTTCACCTTTGTACCCCCTCCTCTTCACCCCACTCAACACCCACAGTCCTCAGGTGTGGTGGATACCAGCCAACAGTATCCATCTCTGCTGTGGATGCTCGTCAAAACACAAGAAAAATATACACAGAGACACCCAGGTCCTGTGGGGAAATAGGGATGGAATGGCCACTCTCTCTAGTGGAGAGTGCCCCATATCTATTCCCAAGCAGGGGTTTATTGAGAATACAGACCTGGTTTGTGGATTCACAGTCTGGCAGAAAAGAGCAAAAGAAGTAGGTGACTTACAAAGCTGCAAACAGAACCCCAGCTGTGATTCTGGGCAGAGATTGAAGTTTTAACATATTGCTTAAAGGGCTAGTTTTGGTTTCCTGTCTGTGCCTTAAAATTATAATCTAATAACATCCTCCAGCAAACAGATCTCACAGGTTCTTGCATATTCTATGTCCCAGGGCTGATCACCCTGGGGTGTCCACCGTTTCTGGTCTGGGCTGCACCGCCCCTGCTATTTCCACAGGCCTAAGTTAACAGAGAAGACAAAGGCAACAAGGAGACTTGGATTACTCACTTCTAATAACAAGGACTCAGGCTTGGGCAAAGCCGAGGGGGCAGGGGTTGATGTCCATCACTCCTTCATTTCCACAGCCCCGAGTCTCTTCCCAGAAGCCTCCACATGATCATGCCTGCCTTAGGCATTTCCTCCATGGGAACTCTTACCCGTCATTGGCTAGCTGATCAAGCTTAGGAGGTTTCAGCACAGAACAGGCAGCATTCATGCCAGGGAAATCAGTTTTTGTCTCCTTAGTGGCTACTGGTCTGGAGGTCTCTCACTCAGCCTAAGTCACAAGGGGTTACAGCTTACTGAGACCAGGCAGGGCAGTCCCCAATATTCAGGCAATCACTCATCTTTTCTTTCTCAACACATTAGTTTGCATTTTCTGAAATTTTATATAAATGGAATTATATAGTATGTCCTCTTTTTATCTGTCTTCCTTTATTCAACAGAATTACTTTTATGAAGTGAAAATTACATAACACATTTTAAAATTAATCATTCTAAAGTGGCATTTTATGCAATCACAATGTTGTGCAGCTGCAAAACCTATGTAGTACTAAAATATTTTTATCACCCTATAATACTCAGTACACATTGAGAGGTTATTTCCTACTTTACCATCACCTACTTTTGGAAACTACCAACTTACTTCTGTCTCCTTCTTCTCCTCATCCCCTGTTTCATACCAACTGTCAATTATTCCCTGCAAGCCTGTACATCTGGTGCTCCCACTTGTCCCAAAATAAGGGAACTAACCTGAGACTTCAAGTATTATCCTTATTTCCTATCCTGTGTCTTACCCCTGATGGCCACACAAGTCTTGGAGAATGGAAACCCTACTTCACTGCACCAGCTCCAATGGCTCCTCCCTCATCAGGTAGGATAGACCCTCATTCATATTAGTTAGCTTCATTTTGAGCCACCCACAAACTCTCCCCTGCATGGCACTTTAGATCCCCTGGAACTTATAGTGCCTATAAGCCCCAAACTTCTCAAGCATTAGAATTTTTCATGCAGATTCAGAGCAGAACCAGAGCAGTCCCCCATCCTCCATGGCTCCCTTCCATGTTCACCTCTACCTCCATACAATGCACCTCTGTCCTGGTCTCCAAGAAACTCAGACAAATACAACAGAAGTCCCCCAAAACAAGAAAGGATTCAAACCAGAGGAGAGGTTTTTTTCCTATTTCTTAAATTCTGGTCAGAGGATCTCTAAGGACAGGCATGTAGAACTTGGGAAAATGAGAAAGAAAACAAAGAACAAGGACACATATCTGGCCTGAGCCAGAAGTCAGAGAGGGCTTGAAAGAGCTTGTCCACTGCCAGTCTGTGTGTGACTCAACTGTACTAGACATGTTGAGTTTTATGACAAAATATCTTTTACAATCTCTGTGATCTTGTGTTTTGAAAGCACAGTGAAAATGGATGTGGGATGAGAACACTGTTAATAGGTCACTGAAGAAGTGCACTGAAATTTTCCAGTAATATTGTTTACTTCATAAAACTGTCCTTTAAGCCAAATGTGCTAGCTCATATACAAGATAAATTATAAGTAATGGAGTCCCCATAGATAAGGCTGTTTTATAATTGGGATCATATCTGTTTGTCCAGGTCAAAACTTTCTCTTTTCTGTTTCTACTTTATCTTTTTTCCTATGTTCCTCTCCACTGAAACTGTGAAAAGGGGTCTTTTATAAATTTAGTAGAAAGCAAAAAGCATTCTCATGTCTAGATAATTTGGCTATTTAATGCTGCCTGTCTGGCTGCAGCATCAGCTAAATAATATCTCTCTCCTTCTATTTGCTTTCATGGCAGCAGCTTTAGAATGTTCTGGAAGTTTAAAAATCACCACTTGTTCCCATTTCTGTATGACATCTAGCAGTTCAGAAACTTATTTTCTACTCTTTATGTACTGCCCTGAGAAAGTTCAGAAGCCTTGCTCTTTTTACAACATTGTAGAGCTGTGAGCTACACCAAGGGCATAGCTACTACAAGTGTAAATATTGGCTATTTGATATTTGGCTAATTGACAAGTCTGAGTTATAACAATTCATTCAGTTTGTTGATCATTTCTTATTCAGATACATAAGAATGCTCAATTATGTCACTTAAGTCAGAGGGGAGGGAGAAAACTGGTAAACTTTTTTTTTAAGATTCCAGCCACTAAAGAAAAAAACAGAAGATTTGAAAATATAATAAGGATTGACCTTGTGAGCAACATAAAGGGACCAATGAATTATAGGTAAGGGATGTCAAAGTAAAACAGGTGCCATATAAATTTAAAGGGGCAAGAAATACTTTATTCAAGAGCATGCAACAGGGCATTGAGACTAAACTCAACTCCTCTGGAACAAAAGGCTGGTGACATTTGAAAACAGCAGAAGGAATCATAGGCATCTGCATTTGCTAATGGGCTTTACACAGAATTAAAGTAAACTTCCCCCTGAAATTCTGAGAGAAAGTCCTTTTACATCTGGCTGTAGAGGTCTCCACTTAAGTTAGGCTTCTATTCTTCCACAGAGCTAGAGCAGAGAGACACCAGGAAGGTTATATTTCACAGGGATGGGCCCAAACCACCTAGTCAGATATCCTCTAGATCACAACACTGGCAAGAAGCATTTGGGGATACATATATATTTCAGAAAGTTAGAGAAAAAAATCTGCAATCACAAATTGCAATTACATTTCTAGAGAAAATGTTCTATAAAATTTGAGGTCAGAGGCCTGTATTTACAAACACCTGTCAGAAGATTAAAGATTCTAGGGGAACATTAAGGCTTCTAAGTCATAACAAAACTGCTTTCTGCATAATGGGGTGAAATACAACTAAATCTTATTCAGACAAGACCCAGTTTGCATCTCTATTAGTGTCTGCAATTTATAAAGAGATGCAACTTCCCAGCAATTTATAAACAGCTACAAAAGACCTGAGAGTTCCTGGGCAGAAGCACGATCAGATCTCAAAAAAACCATGCTTTGGAGTATTTTTTTATGGAGACATTACATTTTTTTTTCTGCAGTCACCTTTCCTTTAATCAACATGAGGTCCAGGGAAGGAAAGTATACTTGTTCCTCCAACATGGCTGCTGTCATTAGATTTCACCTGAGTAGTTATGTCAGTGCAGAGGAGCTGACATGCACTACATAGTTTGCTCTTATGCACGTCCTTTAGTAAGACCTAAGATGGGAGTTTTAACAGCCTCTTGAGCTTAGGAAGCCTCATCCTCACACTTGACCCACAGTCTCTCTAGCTTTACGTGATGCTCTTTTCCACAGAAGTTATCAAAATACCCATGAAGTGAAACTTAGCTTTATAAAAGATAAGGTCACTTCTAATTCTGTGGGCATCAGTCTGAACTAGGACATTTAAGCCAAAGCTTTAGGTTTATTAAAAATTAATTGCAAATGTCTCCAATTAATTTTTAATTAGAAAGTGCAGTAACAAGACTTATGCAGATAAGTCTGTTTCCACTCAGGAGTGAATCTCAAGTGGGCCTTTGAAATTTTGAGGGAGAAATAAAACTGTGAGACGAATATCATTGTTATAGCCAAATCTGTGTTCTCTTGCCTATTCCCATTGCCCACAACAGTGTCCACATACCCGACACACATTTCCCTGGTGAAGGCATTAAACTCAGTTTTCTGTGAGCTGATCATGTACTTCCACCTGCCATCAAACAAACACTTCTTGTCTTGTGAGGAACTCTGCATCACCTCCACCATGGACAGGGTGCAACTGGGACCAAGCAGAGGTGGATCGGGTGTGGAATGTGACCTTCAGTCAACAGTAAGGACAATGTCAGCACACATTTTTTTTTGTATTTATTTACTCAATGCAAGACATCTAAGGACAATTTACCTTGACAATAAATCTATTAAAAAGGTGCAAAATTGATCAGAGTTTGATAACATAGAAGAGGAGAACAGGCTCACTCATATTTCACATCCATCTCCAGGGGGCACACTTTCAGTAGAACTGATGGGTTGGAGACTTCACACTGGTCATCCCCAGCATCCTCTTTCCTCATGGCGTCTATGGTGAGGTTTCTGTGGTTCTGGAAGAACTTTGTTTTTCTCCTTTGTTTTTCTCCTGTCTTTCTACAGATTCCTGCAATGGAACAAACACAGGTTAGAACCACATTTGTGTCAAGGTCATAGCCACAGCAATTTTGTGCTCTGTGACTGTGGTGCTGAGTGCTAAAAGGGTAGGCACTCTCAGGGACTCTGTGGAGAAACAAAAGTCATGAGTGATTGTGAGTGGGCTTGAGACCTGGGACCACACTGCGTCCTTTGAGATCTCAGCCTCTCTCAGTCCACACTGAGCTCAGTGAAGTTCACCAGAGGATGGTCCTGCCTCTGCAGAAGGACTGTTATCTTTCTTCAAATGACAATCTGTATAAAGAACTGTGTGCTCTTTCTAAGCACTGGTCACCTCAGTGTGAGCGCTAACCTGTTCCTGCAGAGGCAGCACAGCGAACCCCTTTCCAGCCCATGAGTCCTACAACCATATTATCAGGGAAGATTATTTGCTCTCATGAGGTTTTATTAATCCTTTCCCAAAACTTTCTTTGGCTTCAAAAAACATCAAATACCACAAGTCATGCAAAATTCCACATGAAAGCTCTGACAGCTGTGGCTCAGAGGATGGAATGTGGACCTGCAATTCAAAGGGTCACCTGTTCCATTCCCTGCCAGGGCACATGCCTGGCTTATAGGCAAGGTCCCCAGGGGCAGGGCATGTGAGAGACAACCAGACATTTTTCTTTCTATGGAGAAAGAAAGGACCATCCTCTGGTAAACTTCACAGAACTCAGTGTGAACTGAGAGAGGCTGAGATCTCAGAGGAAGCAATGTGATCTTTCTGCCTCCATTCTCCTGTCTCTAGAAATAAATAAAGACTATACTTTCAGGGATCATTTCTATAGTTCATTAAAAATAAATAAACAAAATGTTTAAAAATAAGTAAGAAAGGCAATTCCATTTGTAGTGTTTGGAGAAAATTCCATAGTGTTTTCCAGTGACTGCACCAGTCTGTATTCCCACAAGATTGTACTATGTTTTCCATTTCTTCACAACCTTTGCCAGCACTTGTTTTTCCATTTGGTTTTGATGGCCATTCTGAGCAGCATGAAGTGATATCTTATCGTAGTTTGAATTTGCACCTCTCTGATGGCTAGTGACACTGAACATCCTTTGCCATGTCTCTGGGCCCTATGTATATCCTTCTTTGAGAAGTGTCTCCACTTCTTGGATTATACCCTAAGAATCCTGAAACACCAATTCAAGACAACCTATGCACCTGAATGTTCAGCAGCACAATTGACAATAGCCAAGTGTTGAAAGCAATCAAAGTGCCCCTCCATAAATGAGTGAATCAGAAAACACTGGCAAAACTACACAATGGAATACTATGAAGAAGAAAGAAGGAGCTCCTACCCTTCATGATACTATGGGTGGATCTACAGAGCATTATGCTAAGTGAAATGAGCGATGTAGTTGGTGGCTAAGTTGTTTAGAGGATTGCTTTGTGCACCCAAACCCTGCAGCTCAATCTTTGGTGACAGCACATACCTAGGTTGCAGGCTCAATCTCCAGTCAGGGCGCTTATGGAGTGCAATCATCCAGCTGTCCTTCTTTACATCTCAATATTTTTTCAAAAAGTTCCATTAGCTCACTCCATTCTTCTCTCTCTAAAACAACAAAAATGAAAACATGGTCAATATCATTAGGAAAATGCAGATCAAAACTCTTGGACTTGCAGTTGTCACTTGTGTTGCTGGGTGTGGGTAACCCTGCTGTGCAGGTAACAGAGAGAACATTGTCCTGGGTGGTACTTTCTATTGCTCCAAAGGCTTCTGCAATCAGAGTTGACAGGTCTCAGCTCTAAGCCAACTTGAATCTTTAAAAGAACAAGGCAGAGTTCTGGCCAAGATGGAGGCATAGGTAGAAACCCTTCCCTTCCTCACACAACACAAAGGAGGATAGCATCCAATCTAAAATCAGTGAACAACAAGATGTGCCAGAAAATCAAACTGTGATCTTCAGAGTCTGTCTACACTCTGCGTACCTGAATTAAATGTAAAAACTGAACCTGAAACAAAATGCAGAGTGGAATGGAGTAAGTGTCTTGGGCTGTCAGTCCTGTGTGTGAAGTAGGAGTCACCCCTCACAACCCCCAGTCATCAGAGAGCAATCACTCACCATATATATCAAGTTGCCCCAGTGCTGTTTCTGTTTTTGAATTTCGAAGGTGGGCCACTGCAGTATACATTCCTTCATGCTCCTTGGAGACATTTTTCAATACCAAGGATCCATCATAGGTTATCTCCTCTTTTCCATTGGATTCAGGACCACATAAATGGAGACGTGATTTCATACTATAAAACGCAATTGTATTATTTTGGTCCGTGCCTTCCCCCTTGTACCACACAATTGCTACAACCCCACCAGGCATATCCCAGATCTGCAGAACCGCATCTTCCCCTTCGGTAGCAAAGTTTGACAAAACTTTGATTGTGGCTGTGGTGGGTGGGCTCCAGAAGGTTAAGAGTGACACTAGGAAATAAGAAAAAAATGCATCAATATTTGCATCTATGTATTGGGACAGAAAGATGAGGCCCTGAATTCTGAATGAGTCTCTTTATCTTTCAGCCTTGGTCTATTGGTGCGTGTGTGTCTTCCATGGTCAAGGTCAACAGCATGGCCCCCATTACTTCAGCACCTCTGAAGCTGTTGTTTTTTATGTTTCAAATACTCTTCTCTAGGTGTTTGTCTTGGTAACCTCCTCTCTGTGCTTAAACCAATGCTCGCATTCAAGCCGTTTTGAAAGACATGTTTCCCGATCACCTTCTCTAAGGATTCTGTGTTCACTTTCTATCCTGCCCTGCTCTGTTTTTTTTCATGGCTGTTTTGGATACCTGACCTCACATCTATACCTTTCCTTGTCCCTCTGTCCTTCATAGAAAGTGGACTTTCTGAGAGCAGGCCTTGCCTGATCTAGTACCCCCAGTAACTACAACAGCTTGAAAATACCTGGGGATGAATCAATGAGTCCTGTACCTTCTGGGGCTTATTTGCCCATATCTGGGGTTTGCAGTAAAGACAACGTCTAGTACCCCTGGTTAATTTTTTCTGGTGTTTCCTGACATGAGAAAGTGTGTCAACAATAAATCATTATTATTATACCAGTTTTCATAATTCAATACTAAGTGATGAATAACAGCAAATGAACAGCATCCAGGTTTTCCTGCCTCCCACCACCTCCAGATTATGAGATTTTTTTCTTGCTGAGCACCGTTCTCTATCCTACTCTTCCCTTTTGTCCTTTACACTCAGGTCCAGACAGAAGCCTTCCTTCTTCTCTCAGAACACTAGTCTGTTCAGCATACCCCAGCCAGTCTCTGTGTCACATCCTTAGTCTATGCCAAAGAATTGTCCCCTACTTACCAACCAGTAGGAGCCCTTGCCAGTGGACAAGTCCTCTGTGGGTAGAGACTGAAAGGGACCACATGGTGAATGTTGTCTGCTCTGTGGCTGCCTCTTTGACAGAAACTTGACGTTCAGCCAGGCTCACGGGCAACTCTGTCCAGAATGATGCAGTCTTCTGTGTGTCCTACCCTTGGCTGACCTTTATTCTGGGGCAAGATTACAATTCTTGTCATGTGAGCTGGGGGCAGGGAGTATGCATATGAACATCTCACTCCCTGCTCTAAACTTTGCCATCCTTGGCTCTTCTAAACAGTGCTGCCCTCTTATAATTTGTTTCCCTGAGGCCTCTCAATACCACACACACACACATGCAACACATCCACACATGCATAAACACACACACACAAACACCCATGCTCATGCTGTACTTGGAAAAGCACGAGCCTGGGGATACTAGGTTTAACCCCCAGAGGGGTTTCTCCACAGCTTCCTGTCAGGTACCCAGTAGTCTTTCGCACAGTGCTCTCTTGCTCTCTCTCTCTCTCTCCCTCTCTCTCTCCCCCACCTTTGACTCTTCCCTTCAGAGAAGTAGTTCTTGAGCTAAGTCACAGAAACCTGTCACAAGGAAGTCACTCTTGTTGTGCATCAGATCACCTATGAAAGATTGTAACGTTGCAATGTCCAGGTGACCCCTCAAAAATGCAACTTAAGCACCTGTCCAGCTAATGTGGGTGTCCATTCAGAGGGAGATCCCTTGATGTAAAAGTAGAAGTAACTCTCCTGCTCTCCTGTGCACAGGGGAAGTCTCCAGATCCTGTTAAACTACAGACTCTGGCTGGGTGCAGTGGGCCAGAGACTGTATCTGACAAAATCTGAGGGGAGGTTGATCTGAATGGCCTGTGGAGCTCACTTGGAATCCCAGGGCTGACAGGGACACAGGTGTCTTCAGAGGATGTCATACTAATGCCAGAATGGCCTCTGCTGTGTATTTAGTTTGGGTCTGTCAGCGCCAGATGGAGAGCCCCAGATATCATCAAAGAAGGGACTACTTGTTTGTGACACAGAAACCCAGCTGAGCACCAAGTCTTCCCCATGTTCTCAAAAGCTCTCTCATTTTGTTTGTTCCTAAATGAATGTAACACAAATAACTCTGGGACTGAGAAGTGGTCAAACTTGGTGATAATTTCAGAGGGGACCCTCCTTCTATCTCAGGTTGTCAACAGACTCTTTTTTGCTTCCAGGGATAAAAAATGAAAGTGAGAATTCTCAGTAGGACATGCATTTTTTGGTGTGAGTGGGAGATGTTCTCTGTGTCCCAGGAAGAAGGGACTATTGTGAAAGAGTGTATGTCTGTGGGCTGCCTGGTTCTCAAGGGACAGTTTCAGGTAGACCATTCCTCTCCAAATCTGTTTGTAGGACCTTTCCTTGTGGTGCTGGCTGTTGGGAAAACCTCTCAGTTTTCCCTGGGAAGATTCTTTGTCATCATCACAGTTGCCCATGGATGATGCCAGGCATGGAGAAAAGAGCAGCACAGAAACCCTTGAGAAGGTGCACCTAGGCTTTCTCAAGTTCAAATACAAGTCCAAGCTTATACAGCAATATAATGAGTCTATCTGAGCCAAACTGACCTCATATACCTTGGAGAGAGGACTCAAATGCTTTGGAGAAAGGCAGTTTTTAACCTTATTTTTACATTATCATCAAAATAGAAGATGATACAACTTGGAAAAAACCCAGAAGGAGGTGAAAGGGAATATAGCAGAGAAATCTCCAGAACTGAGGAAAAAAAGGCAAAATGGATACACACGTATTTTTTACACTGGTGGACAGAAGATAATGAGAATTTACAGCACACAGAGAAGGTGCTCAGGGGACCAGACAGCATAAAGGATGCTGTGGTCTCATACATTTGTACCAGACTGTGTGACATGAATGGTCCAGTCAAGAAAATCACTCTAATGGGTCAAACTTATGCTCCCCAAGATGCACAAAAATGGATCAGGGCTCACTTAAGTTAAGGACTGACCTTCTTTAAGGAAAAAACAGGCCTAGGATGTGACAACCTGCCATCACCTGCCAAGTTAGAAATTTCTGATGAGAATACCCTATGAGTCTTGTCAGGCATGCCATGTGGCCCCCTGAGCTTGCCAAGGTTACTGCATGAGCCATTTCTGTGAACAGTCTCTAGAAGTAGCAGGTTCCATAGAGCAGTCATGAAGATGGACATGAGTAAGACGTGTTGAAGCAGGAAATGAAAATCAGGCCATTTCTCCATGTTCTTAGCCAAAGCCTGGTTCCTTTGTCTATTTCCTGTGGCTCAATGTTGTCCCATAGAGGGCAGAAGCAGACCTGCAGCCAATGTCAGGTGTTGCACAGCATCACTGAGCAGTGTAGGATGAACCTAGTGAAAAGGCAGGCATGTCCTGAATATTATGAGTCCAGTGTCAGGATAGGTGTCCCACCAGGGGCATGTGCTGAGCCATACAGAGCTCTCTGCTTTCAAGTATCCAGAAGAAGGGCCTGTTGAAGGTTCTCCTGAGGCTTTTGGGGAAAGTTATAGGTCTCGAAGATTGACCCAAAATATGTCTTACATGTCCACCATCACCACATTGAGATGTTGCATACAAGCCAGTTCTGTGTCCCTGTGAGCCCACAGGGTGCAGAAGCAGGAACATCTCCAGGTGAATACTCAACTAGGGCCCCTGTGTGTTCTTTTGTTAGGAGAAGAGAGGTTTTTTTAGAACCCCCAGCACCTGTAAGATGGAAGCAACTACAGTTCCTGGGTTCTCTGCACCATCCAGCAAAGAAAGTTTCCCTTGTTCCCCAGGACATCATGAAGTAGAGACATATCCTTAGAGACAACAGGCAGGTGCCCCACAGACCGAGAATTTTGGGAATGAAAAGTCTTCCCTGATTCCTATAAGATCAGGGTGTGCTCTTTCCTCCCCGACAGTAGCTCTACCAAGGGTTGAGGATCCAGTGTTTGTGTAGGTCAGGTATCTGTGAGAACAGGGAAAACAAAGGCCTGGTGTGAGAAGACATAATTCACAAGCTGGAAGTGTGGAGGGCTGTGAATTTGGAGGAATAAATGCAGTCTAACCCCTCACTGTTAGGAAGTTCCTTTCTTTCCTTCAGATGATATGAGAAATAAATGCCTGATCTTGGAATATCCCCAAGCAGGCGCCATCCTCCTGTCATGCTGACACCAGTGTTTTGTGTCTATAATAACATAATTTAACTGCAAGTGTCACACAGTGACAGGCTTCCACTGTGCAGTTTCCCTTATTGATTTAATGTGTGTTTACAGAGCATCTGCCATGTGTCAGAATCTTGGTTGGGCCCTGGAAACTCCAAACAGAATAAGACTAGTGTGGGCCCTGTGCTCATTGACTTTATCTTGTAATACAGACAGGCTGTCAGGTAAATAATGGCTCTAGGAACTTAATTATAATCCAGTGAATGACCTCAAAACAAAATTTCTGGTCCCTCCAGAGTAGGTAATTGAGTCTCAGGTAGTTTGGGGAGTATGAGGAGCACTTCTGAGAAAGTACCCACTTGGCTGAAACCTGGAGAATTAGTGGACATTTACTCCATAAAGAACAGAGGGTGTTAAAAAAAAATCTTCCTCAGAAGACTGACCTTTGTAGGGCTGATGCTTAGCTGGATGGAAGAGTAGACAGAGTCCATTGCGGGAACTTGAAGATTTAGAAAGACTGTATAATGAGTGATGCTGTTGAGGTTGAACCACTGCTGCACTATGGGTGCTGCTGAGGTGGAGTCGGTGGTGCCCCAGAAAGGCTACACCTGGAGGGTAATTCTGCCACACCCTGTGGACAAGTAGAAACATGGGCAAGAAAATACAACGTTATAGTTGGGTATCTTTTTTTTTCTTACTTTTGTACTTTGCATTCAACTTATACTTTAGATCATATTTCATAGATATATATATAATTTTAATATACTTATTCAATTATAGGTAAATATAATGAGCTTCACATATTGGAAGTATGCAACTTATGAAGTGTTTTCAGATACATGCACAAGAGAAATTTTACAATGAAAATTAAGACCATGTCTCTTACTCTTCAAGTGTTTTCATGCCCTCTTGTAATCTCTTTTTTCTTCACCTCTCCACCTCCATTTTTATTGTTAAGGGAACTCTCTTTGGTTTTATTTTCATTATAAATTCATTGGCACTTTCTGAAATTTTTAAAACTTTTTTCATAAACTATTTAATTTGAGGCCAAATTTGGCTATTTTGACATAATTCTTTGTTTTTATTATCTAGTTAATTCTCATTCCAGGGATGCATTACTTTTGTTTATCTATCCACCCTTCATGTACACTTGTGTTGTTTCCAATATGTGCCTGTGAAACATAAACCTACACAGAAACCTGTTTCTGTGAAACAGAAATATCTTCAAGACAAAGACTCAGTGATTGTAAAACCATGAATACCTAGAGAAATAGAAGTGGGGGATCTCCCACTGAAAATATGGTCTCAAGTTCACATGGCCAACAACCCACCCAGATGTAAGGAAACACCTGCTTCTTCACATAAAGCTTTGTCTCCCCCAGATCACCCATCAGTCAACACCTTAAGGAAATAATGACCATTCTACCTTCCAGCTTTTGAATCTAACACTACTGCATCTTGGAGGCTGAATTTGACTCCCATTTGGATTCTCAATCACAACAATTATGAGAAAAATAGCATTAAAACTTTCAGTCCCTATGATATAAAAGAAAACATAGAAGAAAATGAAAGCATGCATGCCAAGTGCCAAAAGACCACACGTGGCATATCTGAGTTCACATGCAGGCTTAGTGACTCTGGTCACGACATCCCACCTCAAGAAACCTCAGGTATGTCATGTGACATCAGAGAAAGATGTTTGGTCTTCTTTGCTGGGTCTTAGAAAAGAGCAGCTAAACTTTTGAAATGTTGTAAGTGATGAGGGAGATATGAGTGCTTTTGTCATGATCGGACAATTCTTGTCAGGGTCTGCATAGTTTCAGAGTTAAGGAAGGTCACCGGAAAGACCATTTCTAG